GCTGGCTGCTGGCGCCTACCATGTTTCGTGTGCGCCCCCGGGTGGTCAGCACACGTCATAGTGACTGGTTGTTTGGTTGCTCGGTTGTTCTGCCATTCAGTCTATTTGCATATTGAGTTTTTTGTTTGTTTGTTTGTTTGTTTTTTTAATATATTTTACTGATTTTTTTACAGAGAGGAAGGGAGAGAGATAGAAAGCTAGAAACGTCGATGAGAGAGAAACATCGACCAGCTGCCTCTTGCACACCCCCTACCAGGGATGTGCCTGCAACCAACGTACATGCCCCTGACCGGAATCGAACCTGGGACCTTTCAGTCTGCAGACCGACGCTCTACCACTGAGCCAAACCAGTTTTGGCCATATTGGGGTTTTTATATATAGATTTTATAGAACTTCTCATCATGCCCAATAGGAATGCTATGTCTATTAAACACTAATTCCACATTCAGTGCTCCTAACCACCAATCTACTTTCTGTCTCTCTGAGTTTGACTCTTCTAAGTACCTCATGTAAGTGGAATCCTACAATATCCTACAGTACTTATCCTTTTGTGACTGGTTTATTTCACTTAGCACATGTTTTCAAGGCTCATCATCTTATAGCGTGTATTAGAATTTCATTCTTTTTTATCTTTATTGTTGAAAATATTACAGATGTCCTATTCCCTCTCTCCCCCCACCCCTTTGCTCCCTTCACCCTGCTCCTGCCCCCTCCCCAGACCTCCCCCACACTATTGTTTGTTTATGGGCTGTGCATATATGCATATAAATTCTTAGTTTAATCTCCTTTTTGAGGCTAATATTCCATTGTGTGTATAATCCCCATTTTGTTTATCCATTCATCTGTTGGTGAGGTTTGGGTGAAGAATGCTGCCACGAACGTGTGTGTGCAAGTATCTGTCCGCGTCTCTGTGTTCATTTCTTTTGGGTACATACCCAGCAGTGGAATTGCTGGATCTTATGATAATTCTGTGTTTGACTTTTTGAGGAACCACCAAATGTTTTCCACAGAAGCCACGCCATTTTATATTCCCACCAGCAGTGCAAGAGGGTTCCACCTTCTCCTGGGGCAGGAGTAGCTGTGTGTGCTCGGTATAAACCAGCTTGACTGGGGCCCAGATTTTACACGAGGCTGGATTAAGGAAGATCTTAAGAGCTGGCCATGGGATTGGTACTTCATTCTGTAGGCTTTGGGATGCTGGTAAGGGCTCCTGAGCTCAGGGGAAAGCAGGATTAGAGTAGTCCTCCAGGAGGCTAAGGATCAAAGGATACGTGCAGGATGTATTGGGCCCGAGAATTGGAGCATGGTCGTCAGAAGATGGCAGTGATCCAGCTGTAGGAAGGTGGGAAAGGCGGGGATGAAAGTGGAGACTTTTTTGGGCAACATTGGCCACAACCTGTGCACCCTTATGTGGAGAGAGGACAAGGATGTACGTGTAAGCAGTGGTACCTCCTTGACCTCATGGTTTCTGAGGTCCTACCTTGAAGATAGGATGTTTAGAGGGGACTGCGTCTAGTTAGCTCCCTGTTTACTGAAGGCATAGGCATTTGCCACAGACCATGGAGCTATATCATGGGTTGCTGGAGGAATCCCATCTAGTTGACCATCCTAGGGCTTGGCCCCCTTGAGTAGGATAAGACCAGCGATGCTTGTAGAAGGAACAGAAAACACCAAACTCTAAGTATGGAGGGAAAGAAGGGAAAAGAGGGTGCCAGTTAGGGTGTCTCAACCAAAATGTGAGCTAATTCCAAAGTTCTCATTTTGATCTCCCATTTGCATAGTGCATAAAAATGATCCTACAGAATATTACAGGGATGGTGTCTGTGTGGCCAGTTCGCTTTGCATTAGCCATTGTGCACGCCAGCCAGCTTATCCGTGGAAAACCATTCCTGCCTCAGAAGGCTTCTGCCCCTTTCCCTCGGTCCCTTGGTGTCTCCACCACTGAAGATTCCTAGAAGGTGCAAGGGTCCAGTTAGGGGTTGTCCTTTGTGTTATTGGAGGACTGAGTGCTGTTTGTGTCTAGGTGTGGGATTCTGAGCCAGTGGGTGTAGTGGGCAGATGGCTGGGTGTGGGTTTTAGTGGAGACAGGTTGCAAGGGAGTTTTGAATGACGTATTTAAAATAGAATGAAGGGATCTACAATCAGATCTATGCACCATGGTTAACTTAATTAGACAGAGGATGGGGAAATATGCTTAAAAAGTTGATGTAATAACTGTTTCAGGGCATAGGATGTGGAAGACAATGAGACAGCAGCTGAAACTCGGCTGCAGGATTAGCCGGGGTGTGCTGGCCTGCCTGATAGCGGAGTGCCCCGCCCGGAAGCCGGAACAAAGGCTGCCTGCCACACGGTTATCGCCTGTCACACAGGCTCCCCGGAGGCAGCCGTCCTGACAGGGTTATAAGGAAAATCGTTAATGGGTACTATTACCTTCTCTGGGTTCCTTCTAAATAGATGTCCTCCCTTGACACGGGTTTCTGTATATTTCTACCTGTGTTTTCAAATCTGGGGATTTAGGTTTTTAAAAAAATGAATGATTCTTATCCTGGTGCTGAGAAAGAAAATGATTCCGTTAAAAAAAAAGAAATCCCAGGCAGGGTGTACATTTTTATCTGCACGTTAAACTGTCAGCAGTTGCCCCCCCCCCCCCCCCCCGCCCCCGTTGATTGCTGAGTGGAGAGGGGACACTCGCTGACATGAGTAACAGAAGTTTGACAAGAAGCAACCGCTGACCCCGCAGGCCTGTTTAGGTGGTACAGATGCCGTTACCAAACTGAATCCTTCCTGGCTCAGCCCAGCCTGGTTTGGACCCTGGGAGCCAGTGGTTTGCCCAGCTGTGTAGACACCTTCGCGGTGAGAGCCGTGGTCGGCAAACTGTGGCTCGCGAGCCACGTGCGGCTCTTTGTCCCCTTGAATGTGGCTCTTCCACAAAAATACCACGGTCTGGGAGGGTCTATTTTGAAGAAGTGGCGTTAGAAGGAGTTTACATTTAAAAAATGTGGCTCTCCAAAGAAATTTCAATCGTTGCACTGTTGATATTTGGCTCTGGTGACTAATAAGTTTGCCTTCCACTGCTCCAGAGAATCAGCAGGCTGGGAAGGGACTCATTCACATGTTCACAGAGGCCCTTGGAGCTTCTTTAGAAATGAACCCCCCGCCGAAACCAGTTTGGCTCAGTGGATAGAGCGTCGGCCTGTGGACTTAAAGGTTCTGGGTTCAATTCCAGTCAAGGGCATGTACCTTGGTTGCGGGCACATCCCCAGTAGAGGGTGTGCAAGAGGCAGCTGATCGATGATTCTCCCTTATCAATGTTTCTAACTTCCTATCCCTCTCTAACTTCCTATCCCTCTATCAATAAAATATATTTTTTTAAAAAGAAAGACAAAGAAAAAGAAATGAACCTCTTGCTTTCTCCCATGAGGGGCCCCTGCAGGGACTCCGGATTCTGTTCTAGCAGGAGCAGCACAGCAGAACTTCTCTCTGGTCCCTCACTGAGAGCTGCTGAGCAGCCTGCCGGCACCCAGGGAGGCCAGGGCTTCAGAGAGGACTCCGTCCCTGTGGCTGCTCCAGGCCCTGGGTCACCGCGCTCACTGCAGGCAGATCGCACGCTCTGCATCTCCAGACAGGCCCGTGGGGCAGCTGTGAGAAACGACACGGAAAATGTGCAATGCCAAAGCCCTCTCTGTGGCACCTGAAGGAGATCCAAGCTCTGGGCAGGATCAAAGAGGCTGTAAACCCGGGGTGTGAGATGAAAGCTCCTGCGAAGCAGAGAACAGAGAGCAGAACTTGGCCGCATTTTCAAAGACCTGTGGTTCCCACAAAAGAAAAGAGGGAGGGAGCGGGAGGGAGCGGAGAGCAGTGGTTTGGGAGAGGCCTTGCACACTGGAGCTGACCCCGCTGATCTTTTCCCTGGAAGCTTGCTTTTGTATAATAGCTGATCAAAGACTGGGAGGTGCTTTCCAGCTAATGGGACTGAGGAAGGAAGGGGGGTGGGGGGTGGGGTGGGACAGGACCCATGGCAAATCACAGATAAGAAATGGGGAAGCTTATCTGGTGATTTGTTGAATTTGACTTTATTTTTTTAACTATAGGAAAAAACGCCATAATACCGGTGATATTGAGAAGGCCGTGGAGTGAGGTGCCCCAGGAGCTGTGCCCACTAGATGGGAGAGTTCTGTTGGGCCAGGCCCATGGGAGGCTCACCCTCAAAGTTGAGCTGAGCTAGATGCTGCGTCACATCTTCAACCAGACAAGTGGGACTGTGGAGTTTCAGGAACAGTGACATGGGATGGAGCACAGTTTCGGGGGTGCCATCAATAGACTTGCTCTGGAGCACTGGCCTATGATGCTTCTCAGGGGTAGGAAGGACGATATGAACGTAAGATGTGTGCCTGTCATAGTACAGGTATTTTGTTTTCTGCTTTAATGCTTCCAGAAGCTTCCAGAGGGCCACGTGACCCATAGCAGTGGCCCCGAGCCACTCCAAGTTACCTTGAAGAGACCACTCTGGTCAGTTCATCTGAAATGGCTGTGATAAATTTTAAGAGAAAATATTAACACAGTATTTAAATTAAATAAGTATAATAATTATATTTACCAAATCATATTGCAGAAAGTGAAGATAATAGTGGCAGAAAAAAGCACATTATCCAACTCTGCATCACAACCAGTCTTATTTAGACATACTGCTTTACAGTCCTTTCTTGAATGCGTCTAAATATAGTTTCGTCTCCAACACTACAAACTTCTCCCCCCATGTTTTTATGAAGTCTTCATCACTGTGATTTTTAAATTTAATGGCATTTTGATTTCCTTGGGGATATTTGAAAGTGGCAGCATTTTGAGTTTTCTCATAATTATTTGAGGTAGAGGCTTAATTGTAATTTAATTTATTTGTGTGTGTGTGTGTGTGTGTGTGTGTGTGTGTGTGTGTTTAAAAGGCATTTCATGCTAGATCTCAGCTATTAAAACACTGTCTTTTCTCGTGTTTCTGTTAACAGGGATCTACCGCACAGAGAAGGATAAAGGCACTTTGTATGAGCTCACTTTCAAAGGGGACCACAAGCACGAATTCAGGCGCCTTGTCCTGTTCCGACCGTTTGGCCCCATCATGAAAGTAAAAAAAGAAAAACTCAACATGGCCAACACGCTCATCAACATCATCGTGCCACTGGCAAAGCGGGTGGACAAGTTCCGACAGTTCATGCAGAACTTCAGGTTTGTGTGTTTGCACCTGCTTATCTTCCCCCACGGGTGCGCGTTAAATGCTGATATCATTTCCCGTCATCTCCCTCATTTCCCCCGCCGAGGACAAAGGCGGCTTTCTCTCCTTGTTCAACTCTGTTTTCTTCATATCGCCTTTATCATTTGAGTTTGCCTTTCCCTAAAGCAATTAGAAAACTGCCAGATAAGCAGATTTACCTTGGAAAGGGAAACTAGGAAGGATTGGGGTTTCCTCGGGATCTACAAAGAAGGCCTCACCCCACCTGTGGCCTTCAGCTCTAACTTGGGTTTGGGCTCAGGCCTGGGGACAGCAGGGACCATGCTATCACACCAGTAGAGTGGGCCCGCTCCTGGGCTCTCAGAGCCGGCGCCACGTGGCCGTGGACTTGAGCTGGAAGCTGGCTTCATTGGCTGCCCTGCTCTAGCAATTGGCTGGAGTGGACTGAATCAGAATCTATTTTTTATTCTAATCTGTGGCTCCTCAGATTAAATTTAGAATGGTGCCAAGAAATTTCCAAGCACTCATTTCTGTAGCTTCTCAAGGAGACTAAGTGGGCTTTATTTTCAGATGCAGGAATGCTGTTTTAAAGGTTTGTGCAGTGTTGGGGCTTATAAGCTGTTACATTCATGTACTGGTCGAGGTTAATCAGCTCACTTACTTAGCCAGCTTGTTTTAAAGATAACAAGTCACACACACACACACACACACACACACACAAGATAGCAAGTTGTGGGTGTTTAATTATAAATACTGGAAGATCAGACTTATTTTTATAATCTGTTATCATTAAATTCACATTATTCAAAGCCAGTAACACTTCATATAAAGATATGGTTGATACATCTCAAAATTCTGGATAGTGAATGTGCTCTTTTTTAATTTTTACAATTGAAGAGGAACCTTTTCTACTGTAGTTAAATTTGAAGGTCAGAATTCAGTAGTCTTAGAAGAGACTTTTGAGTGTCATTTGGTCTAATCCTCCCTCAGTTCAGAATCCTTGAGGGCACTCCTGGCATGTGGTTTTTCTGTGCAATGTGTGTGTATGCCAGGTAACTACCTTCTTAACAAGGTGGGCTGTCTTTATGCTGACCAGCTGTAGATAGAAAGCTCACTTTTATTAGGTCCTGAAGTCCACCCTCCTGTAATTTCTACTCAGTGGCTCTGAAGGAAGGACTGAACAAATTAATTTCCTATTAAACATCCCAGCCTTTCAGATATTTGAAGAATGTGATCATAACTCCCTTTGATCTTTTAAAAAATATATATATGTTTTATTGATATTTTTTACAGAAGAAGAGTAAGGGATAGAGAGTTAGAAACATCGATGAGAGAGAATCATCAATCAGCTGCCTCTTGCACACCCCCTACTGGGGATGTGCCAGCAACAAAGATACATGCCCTTGACCAGAATCGAACCTGGCACCTTTCAGTCTGCAGGCCGATGTTCTATCCACTGAGCCAAACCAGTTTCGGCCCTTTGATCTTTTCTGTGGTATCCTTTGGAGCGATCTTTTCATCCATCTCCAGTTTGTAGAATACTCCAGTGGGCACCATTATTTGACTGTTGACCACATTCTTCTGGCTTTAGTACTGAAGAGACTATGGCGTTGGCTTCTGTCTCCCTTTGGTGTTTCTATGTTCTCTCCCTGTGTTCTTTTTGGAAGGCAGATCCTGCTGGTTGATTAAGCATTACCTGCTTAGAAGGATGAAACCTGAGGCTGGCACTTGGGCATTTAGCCAAACCACTACTCCCAGCAGCTGGTGTGCCATGGCTAGGACTAGCTCAAAGTAAGTTCCTTTAGCCAGGAAGCTGCCTAGCACTTGCCAGATGAAGGGCCTTGAGATTTGCTTCACTGCACATAGGCTAGTCTCTGAGTGTGCTGGGCTTGGTAAGGTAGTGCTATGCTAAAGGAATGTCTGCTCAGTGAAGGGCCAAGTTCTTTGCCTAGGACCCCAGAGGCCTGGAAGCCTTGAATGGTAAGATATGTATGGCTGCCATACATATCACAATGTATGTAAGATATATATTGCCTTAGTGTCATGAGTATTACAAGGAATTAACTTAGAAAGGAAATATTGTTGGAAAAAAAGTAAATAACTAACTCACAAGTCACCAAAATTGAGAGGGTAACATGAAATATAATTGTAGTCAATGTTTTAAAAACAGACAAAAATCCTAGGGTCTTTTTCCTTGACTGTCACTCTTGAGACGCCTGTTGTTGCTGTAGGCGGGAGATGGTGGGTGGGAAGACCTGTTACGTGGGGGGAATTCTTAGGGGGCCTGTGTGTGTGGCGGACACTCCACCAAACGCAGGGCTGAGAGGAGGAGATGGAGATGTAGCGCCTGCCTTTGTGGAGAGGAAACCTACTCACAGGAAGCTGGAAGCTACAGCAATAATAGACACAAGGACAGTGGGACCCAGAGAGGCATCCCAGAACAGAGGACCCTGGAACAGAAGCCTGAGTGGGGATTGTGCTCTGTAGTCCAGGTTTCTGAGTGCACTGAGGTCTGAAAAAAAATGAGGTGGGAGATGGCACTCCAACCTGAGGCTGTTTAATTCTGTCAGAACTCAGTAAAGGTGGTGCTTCAACCAGCCAACAGAGGATGGACTGCCCAGTCATGGCTTTAGGACTGTTAATTACATCTGATTCTTCACACCAAAACCCAGAGTAAATCCTGGTCAATTAAATATTTAAATGCAGGTAATATGACCATAAAAAGTATTGGGAGAAAATGTAAAGGGCTATTTATTAAATATTTGATGTTGTCTTTATGAAGTCCCTTCCATCCCAAGACTGAAAGTTATTAACTGTGGTAGGCACTTCTTTCGGATTCTCTCTGTCTTATATATAGTTACCGTATATTTTGTTTAAAAATTTAGTGGCGGGGGTGGGGGGAGGGGGTAATGGTAAGATAAGTACACATATAATACCTTAATAAAAAAAAATGAGGAACAAAAAAAAGAACGAAAAAGACAAAAAAAAAAAATTTAGTGACAGGTGATGGGTTGTTTTTTTGCTTTTGTAATTTAAACATGACTTTTTAGTTTGTAAAAGTGATACATGGTTATTATAAGACCTTTAAATAATATAGAACACAACAAGGATTAAGTTATTTACAAATTCACTCCTGATTCTTCCTCTCCAAATTCATCATTTTAAATATTAATTGAATATTGTTCTAGGTGCCTTTTTTATATTTGCATATATAAAAATAACTTACTGCTCTAGCTGGTTTGACTCAGTGGATAGAGCAGCAGCCTGTGGACTGAAGGGTCCCGGGTTTGATGCCAATCAAGTGCACATATCTTGGTTTCAGGCTCTTCCCCAGCCTGGGCCTGGTCAGGGATCATGCAGGAGGCAACCAATCAATATGTCTCTCACATCGATATTTCTCTCTGTCTTTCCCTCTCTCCTCTACTCTCTCTAAAACTCAATGAAAAAAAAATATCCTTGGGTGAGGATTAAAAAAAAAGAAGAAGAAGAAGCAGCGATCAGACTCTCAAACCTCAGAGGGAAAGTAAGGGAGAATGGGGATAAGGGGAAGAGATCAACCAAAGGACTTGTGTGCATACATAAGGGCCTAGCCAATGGCCATGGACAATGGGGGTGTGGGGGGCATATCTAGGGAGGGGTTTGGGATGGGAATGGGGGGATAAGGACAATTATGTGAGACCATAATCAATAAAATAAATTAAAAAAAAGAATAACTTGCTAACTAGGAATAATTTAATACATGAGATATACTATATGTTTTATTTTTAATTAAATAATTAAAATTTACCTTACTTAAATTTATAGAAGAGAATCTGAAGTACAATAGGATAAATTGCTGATCTTTAAGAAAGTGTTTCTCAACTATAAGAGATATTAGTTCCCATAAGAGATCCCTCTGAAGTTGCATAAGTGATTTTGCAAAGAAGATTGAAATTACTATGCAATTTTTATTACATAATACTTTTAATTTTAGACTGGATTGGTTGGAAAATTACAATAAGAAGAGAAAATCAGTACAGTGATGCTTCCTCCTTCTCCTGTGTTCCATTTTCCAATTTTTTCAACTTTGTATTAGTCTTACCTTCTCAGGGTTTGTAACGTTTAGATTCTGTTTTATAACTACAATTCCAATACTTACATGGATTCAGTGTTTTCATTAGCAGTTCTCCAACAATAACTTCTTCAATTCTGAGGCCTTGGTTTTTTTTACTGTATTTCATGGTCAAGAAATTCCTTCAAGAAGGATCAGACATTCTTCAGACTAGAATGTCTGCTTGTTATCTTGATATTTATATCTGGCCAAACTTAAAATTCTTAGGGAACACTTTCTTTCCTCAGGACTTTGTAGATATTCTTTTGGTATCTAATGGTACCATGAAGAAGAGTTAGGACAATTTTAGTCTCTCCTGAAAATGACTTACTTTTGCCTAAATGTCCAAAGAATTCCTTCTTTTGCCTTGAATCACAATAACTTAATCAGGATATGTCTCAGGGAAATGTCATTGTGTTCTCTCAGATTTTCCTATAATTCAGTTTCCTATTTTTCTGTGTAAATTTTTCTGTTTCAGGGAACTTTTTTTTTTTTTTTTTTTTTTTTTTTTTTTTGCTGTTCTCATTTTGAGTACTTGTCTTGCTTCATTTGTTTGGTTTCTCTGTTTTGCAGACACAATTGTATATTCTCAGGTGTTCTCATTTTTTTTAGCTTCTCTTTTTTAATGCTTTGTATTGTATCTATTTTCACACAAGCCTTTTCTTTATAAGGTCTTTAATTTTCAGATATATCTATTCTGTACTTTGGTATTTTTAATTATTCTGTTTTGTTTTTTGTTCATTTATCAGTGCATTTTCTGAGCATAGAATATGCCTAGGAACTGTTGTTTTTGTCATATCCTCTTTGAACTTTTAAAAATAGAATTCACATTTTTATTAAGAAAGTGTGAAATGTTTGTAAGACATTTTCTTCTGTTTGAGTTATCTTTTCTTTCAGATTTGGTTTTTCATTGACTTTTTGAATGCTATTTCTCTCTTAATTCTCTTTCTCTTTCTTTCTTTAATTTTGTTGTTATTCTTGAGATGTGGTAGGTATGATGTTTGTATTCATCCCTCTTCTGCATGGCACACAGAGGGCCATCCGGCCTGTGTGCTCTGATGTAGAAGTGGATTCTTCTTGGCTACCTCTGCATCTTGACTAAGAACTGTTTGTGTCCCACTTCCAGTGATATTCTGAGGACAGGGTACTTATTGTTCTATTTGCTTCATTTATGGACTGAAAGAACATGTGAAAGAGAGAAAGAACTCAGCTGGGGTTTTGTGCAGCCTTTTTTTGGAGGATCCCACTTCCTGTGGTTCTTCTGCGTTCTGGTATTGATCTGGGAGCTGCACCAGGCTCACTTGATCCAAACTGGATGGATCCTTTCCTTGAGAGGGCAGATTATTTGTCTCTCAGAATGGGCCCTTGGCCAAGGATTGAGACAGATTATTCTCTCATTAGAGAGAATCAGCCCCATTTGTTTACTTTCTTAACTCATTTATGTGTTTGTCTTCTGCAGCTCTTTCCAAAACTCCTGTAAGTCCAAAAGAAGAGAAAAGATAAAGCTTTGGCCCTCTGTTTAAAGGTGTGTGTGTGTGTGTGTGTGTGTGTGTGTGTGTGTGTAAGACATGTATAAGATATGTCATCTGGCTATTGGTATCTCTTATCTCTTCTCCTCTTTCCTCTCTTTTGATGAATCATGACAATGTGATGGTCTTTTGTCCTTTGGTTCTGCCAAGTACACTCTTTTTGGAAGGGTTCCTTCACAAAGAACAATTAGGTTAGTTCTACCTTTCTTCTCTACTTGCCATCTGATGTGGAGAGACCAAATATTCCATTGTGGCTCTACTGGTGCTGAGACCCTGAAGTGGAAGTTGAAGCTCCTGTCTCTCCCCAGAGTAGCCATCCCCCTGGGCTGCCTTCCCCCGACCCCGGCTCCTCTTTCTGAGGCAGCTGTTGGAGCTGGAAGGCACATGAAGCTAAAATAAAATCTTCTGTTTCTTTCCTTCGTCTCCTATTTGTGATATTTAAGGCATAGAATTATGTCCCTTTCATTGATCATTTGGTGGCAGCAAGACCTTAGCTATTTTCCACATTTTTGGTACATGGTTTGCAGTTGTCACTGTTTGAAGTTAATTTATTTAAATCATTATCTTTTAAAAGGTAAACACCCTTCGTAGACTGCTCAACTGTTACTGCAGTCATTTCATCCTGCCTTGTACTATAGCTCTTCCGCAGTCCATTTCTTCCAATGCACTGTGAAGTCTCAGGCCATTGGGGTGACCATTTGTCCCATCACTTGGGACAGAGTTTTCCTGCCATGTGGACTTTCAGTGCTAAAACATGGAGAATCCCAGGGAAACTGGATAGTTGGTTCCCCAACAGGGCCATACATGAATATTCTTCTTACAATTCACACAATGAGAATAATGCATTGCAGAACCAAATTAGCTCGTGGGGTCCAGGCAGGCTGTGTCCAGGTACAAAACATTATAGCAAAACACCGACAGCTTCATGTACAGTCATCCCCAGGCACACCCTTTCTCATTCACATCGTTGGGACGGAGTCTAGTGAGAATTCTTGGAAAAATACAAACATTACAAGACCATTCAGGCAGTCAGTGATGTTTCCATAGCTCTATGCTCCTCCTCTCATCAAGCATTTGTTTATTGCATCACAGACTGTTTCAGTCATGAACAAGAGGAGGCTTCTCAAGGGCAGGAATGTGTGACTCATTGTTAAGCTCCCCTGGTAGAGAAGCTGGCACCCAGCCTGTTGTTTGTTTGTTTGATTATTGTTAGCTGAATGCAGGAAGGAATAAGTGAATACACGGCCAGGAACCCCGGAGTGGATCTCTGAACAAATTCTGCTTTGCCTTCTCAGGAAACCTCAGCTGGTGAAGGGAAAGGAAAGGTCCAAAGTGTCAGTTCTATTCCTTGAAAACAGGAAGTGTTTTGAATGGATTTTAAAATGCCAGTAAAGATGTCCCAGGAAGGGAGAGGGGAGGGGAGAGAAACACAAACACATGAGAATGCTTCTTTATTCAGGCTCAGTGCGTGACCCTCTAATGATTCTGAGATGGACTTTTTCCAACTGCAAACACAACTCTATAAAGAACAGATTTTTGGGTGCTTGGAGCTGTGTGTTTGCTTTTGTTCTACCTGGTGAGTGTACAAAAGGGATCGTTTATGTACAGAGGATTTTATTGTCGGGAAGTGATGATTCAGTCTGTAGGGACTGGGGCTCCGAGGGAAGCTCTGTGTATTAAAGCATCCGGGGCCTCTGTGTTTGGTCCTGAGTCTGCTTCTAGGAGCTCTGCCATCAGCCTGGGTTCACAGGCAGCTCTTACCTTTCTTCCACAGGAAATAAACAGAATTTTCAGAACCAAGCCTTGTGAGCAGGCTGGGCCATGCGTACCTGTTGCCCAGGGTCAATATAATCATGCATTAGATTTCTCCCACTTGGAATTCTCTTCCTCCTCTACCTTTTTAAACCCAGTCCATATTTCAAGGCCCCAGCCCACAGAATTTCCTGTGTTTTCTGAGTTCCCTACATTTTTTATCACTGTCATGAGGTGTTCTTATTTTATTTGAGCTTATTTTATTCCTTATGTAAGTGTTTTGAGGTGAGGAACTGTATCTTCTATTTCTTTGAATTTCTCCCAGTCACCCGAACTAGACAATCACTCCTTTTTTATGTCATTATAAAATGCATTGAATAAATTGGCCTCTGCAATTAGAGCACATAGATTTCCAGAACGAGATGATATGGACTGTTGTTTGGGGGTTAAGAAAGGTAGCTAACACAGAGACAAAAGGAATAAAATGGAAGGACATGCAAAATATCAAGATAGCACAAAAAGTCATCTTGCCAGTAGAATCTTTCCATTAACATGCTTCCAGAAAACACCTGTGAAATTATACACACACATACACATATATGTATATGCAGACATGTACACCAAAGCACATGTTTACACATATACTTTGACCTACACATTTCTGCACATACATGAATACATACTGCACATACTATTGTAGTATAGATGAAGTAAGTGCTCGGCAGAGGATCATACCGTGGTAGCTACACAGAAACTAGGTGTTACCATTGAGAGAGCAGGACCTGGCAAATGCCAAGCTTTAGTGGGGTCAGCAGGTGTAGACCAGTCCAGAGCCGGAGGCCCGGCACCGAGCGGGCTGCCAGGACCCTGGAGTGTGAGGTGCCAGTGCCTGGGACAGAGTCACAGAGAGGAGAAATGGGGATGTAGTGAAGGTAAATGTATCTGCTTGGGAAGGGTGACAGATTGCAACGGTACTTATGCCTTATCCTTCCCTTGGACAGTCACGCCACTGGGTGTTCCCAAGAGTTTCTAGAGTCCCAAATGGAAGAATGTTTCTACCTTTATGTGTTCAATCTTTAAGACAGATTAGCACACAAGAGCAAAGTCCATAGACAAGGATTCTGGTCTTAACCTCTCTGGGCTTTAGCTTGCTCATCGGTACATGGAATTTGTGTGTTCTTTATTTCATAGACTACTCTAGGTGTCCCAATGGGCCAGGTTTATGGCAGATTGGCCCTGTAGCCTTTGAGTTTCCATTGATCAGATCTGCACATTTAAATTTTATTGTTTCTTGGTAAAAATCAATGCAAATACAAGTCATCGTGATGGTCAGGCTTATTTTAAGACCCTTTTGTACTTTACAAAATAGGTTATTTGCTTGGGCCTTTCCTGTTACTGTGGAAACAGGTCCAGACATACACATGTTTTATTTTCTAGGGAGACATGCATCCAACAGGATGGGAGGATTCATCTCACTGTTGTTTACTTTGGGAAAGAAGAAATGAATGAGGTCAAGGGAATACTTGAAAACACTTCCAGGTAAGTTCGACATGGGGCTGTAATCAGGAATCACGGTCACTGAGCTCATACACGTATCTAAGGCTAAAATTCCTATTTCTGTCTTATTTTCCTTAACACTGGGGGGGAACTTCCAGGTTGGTCGGTTGCTGGCTGTGTGTAGGGGGAGATCTGCCTGACACCAGTGCTCATGGTGCAGGGTGTTGTTGATTTTGACTTTGAGATAAACTGCCGTGAGCAGCCAGGGTAGGGTTAGGGAGCATGATTGGATGTCTGCACTCTTAGCACTGCAGGTTTGAGGTCTTTATGTCACAATGTGGGAATTAGGGAGGGTACGGCCATGCAGGCAGCGCCATCTCAGCCAGCTGGTAAGGCTAAGGGTGGCATCCATGCTTGGGTGGCATTCACTTAACCAGTGGTCTCACTCTTCTGATTTTCATTCATTATGCATATCGAGAGATTACAGGAAAGCAGGAAGTGGTAACTGGGGCAGGGTCCTTGGTGAAATTTATTCAGTTGAATAGAAATTATTTAAAAACTTTAGACTTAGGATTTGTATTTATACCCCATTGATCAGTAGTTAGGGAATAAATATGTTCAAAGATAGCAGGGATGGATTTCCCCCCCTACAAATATGCAAATATTTATTTAATAAATAAACATCTATGGCACTTACTACTAGTAAGAAAGCTGGAATGGTATTACCATGATCCCTTGTGGTTTGTTACGGAGGTTTGCAGGGTTTCAGTTGAGTAATTGGGGGAGGGGATGGGAGGTAGTTTCCTTATAAGTGAAGCTTAGAAGGTAGTAGTGGCAGGAATAGTCAGACTAGATCCAAATTGTTAGAAATGCTCTTAAGTGGTGTCAAGAGGATGAGACAGATACTGGTCTTAACCTCTCTGGGCTTTAGCTTGGTGCATAGCCCATAAAAAATGTGATGGAGGCACACATTCTCCTTTTATCCCTGACTCTGCTTCACTGTGCTCTGATTGGCTTAAGAGCCTGGCTTCACATTCAAATAACTAATTCAAGAGGGGTGGTACAAAGGGGCGGGGTTGTTCTAGATCAGTGGTCGGCAAACTCATTAGCCAGCAGAGCCAAATATCAACAGTACAAGGATTGAATTTCTTTTGAGAGCCACATTTTAAAAACTTAAACTTCTTCTAACACCACTTCTTCAATATAGACTCGCCCAGGCTGTGGTATTTTGTGGAAGAGCCACACTCAAGGGGCCAAAGAGCTGCATATGGCTCTCGAGCCGCAGTTTGCCGACCACCGTTCTAGGTTAAGCTACAAAATAGAGGTTTATACAAAAAGGAAATGGAGTTCGTATCTAAACTATACCTTTGACAGAAAAGACTTTTTGATTCTCACAATATGGCCTAAATATAAACAGAGCCTCTGTTTTGAATTTCTGGTAAAGGGTAATCGGGTGACAGTCAAAGGATAAGATTCCAAGATTGGGCGCACTCTGTATTTATTTTCACACTTTGTTACTAATTTTGTATTAATGAGCAGAAGAAACAGAATGCTAATTATATTTATTCAATCATTCTGAGGCAGTCCACTAGCCAAATTTTGCCCAGCACTTCTTTTTGTAAGTTTTGCTGGAATGCGGGCATGCTCATTTGTTTACATACTATTTATGGTGGCTTTTGTGGTGCAGCTGCAGAACTGAATAGTTGTGACAGAGAATGTATGACTCACCAAGCGTGAACTCTCTCCTCTCTTGTCCTCTCCAGAAAAAGTTTGCTGAATTCTGTTTTAAATCAATTATGAGTTAAGAGTTTAAAACCAGTAACAGCTTAAAGCTATGGCCTCTGTTGAAGGGAGATCAAAGAGAATAAAATAGTTGAACATCCTAAATGTGAAATAGAAATATCTCAACTGCAGTGGGTTGCAATATCCTTTTCACCTCTGCTTAGGAATGGGGAGCATGAATTATTAGAATTCGTGTATTTTGCACTGTGGATAGGTTTTAATGTCTCTGGAATATCCATCCCTGGGAGTTGATCTTTTAAAAATTTCCCAGATGATTCTAACACACAGCCAGGGTTGAGAGCCTTTGAGAAAGTGGCAGTCTATCCCAGGGGCTGCAGCCAGCTGCCCATTCCAAGGGTTTTTAAAATATATATATATTTTTATTGATTTCAGAGAGAAAGGAAGAGAGAGAGATAGAAACATCCATGATCAGAGAGAATCATAGATTGGCTGCCTCCTGCAAGTCCTCCACCAGGGATTGAACCCACATCCAGGGCATATGCCCTCAGCCAGAATCAAACCTGAGACCTTTCAGTTCACAGGCCAACACTCTATCCACTGAGCCAAACCAGCTAGGGCTCCAAGGTAATTTTTTAATAGCTATCCAGGTGACTCTCAGTCCTATTAGGTCTGGCACTTTCCAGAACATCAAAGGATGACAAGACATTTGCTCATAGATACATATAACCAAATTTACCCAAGTCTGATGGATGGTATATATGAAAAGTTATATGAGAATCTTTAAAAATTATTTTTATCATTCTTTGAAGATGGTATAACTCTTATTCACATGCATCTTATCTTTGAATAATAATCATTATTATTATTTATGTGAATGATCTTTACTATTCTCAGCAATGTCACTCGATAGATGCTATTAGCCCCATTTCAAAAACTGAGGTTTAGCGAGATTGTTTAGATATTGTTGTGGGAAATACCCTTTCAAATGATTAGAATGCTTATGGACTCTTTTATCAAAGGCATTTTTCACCATATCAAATTACCTGGCAACTAAATTCTCAGTCAGCAGGGTGCTTGGTGAGGAAGGAATGAAGAGAGTCTGATCAAGAAAACTATCATCATTTGAGTGGTAGGGATCCTTTACTTAAAATGTTCAAAAATTTCTAGGGGTTAATCTACCCAGAGAATTAGTGTTAGAGACTGAACTGACCTCTTTAAAGAAATAGGCGCTACAGAAATCTTGGCAACATTTATTGGAACCCTGTTTTTCTCTGCGGATGGCCTCATTCTGTTAACTGGTGATATCTGCAATATTGATGTCACTGATGCGTTGGGGCCTGGCCTACACCCTCCATTGTGTTGCTTTGATCAGACTGTCTCCCTAGGAATGCCCCACTCTCTGCAGCCAGCCCGAGCCCATAGTAATCTAGATGAAAACTTAAGTAAGAAGCTTTTAAAATCATCTTTATTATTCTTTTAAGAAGGTATAACTCTTGTTCACATGCATAATAATAATTATTATTTATGTGGAGGATCTTATTTAATATTCACAGCAACCTTATGAGAGACTAGTAGATGCTACTAGCTGTGTTTTAAAAACTGAGGCTTAGAGAGGTTGTTACTCAGGCTGCCCTCTGACACCTGGGAAAGCCAGGATCTGAAGCTTGTCTGTGAACTTCCAGGACTCATGTCTTAAAATCTTCACTCCAATGTACTCCATCCTGGAATCCATAGTTGTTAGTTGAAAGTAATGAAATATGAAATCAATATAAATGAAATTTATTTCAGTTGAGTATCAGCATTGTGATTAAACTGCTCTAAATGCAGCTAATTGTATATATTTTAAGGATATCTTTTAAAAATCTACTTTGATGTCTGTGTGCAATGTTTTACTCACTCAGTTTATGCTCACTCAGTTGAGCTTTACTTTTCAGTTGATTGCTATAAATCAGTGTTTTGCAAACTGAAATTTGTGATTCATTAGAAGGTTGTGAAGTAGATTTATGCTCAGTATTATAAAATAATTGAAATAGAGTAGATAGCAGATATAAGTAGTAAGGATAAATATTGTTTCATTAAATATTAATTTTTTTGTGTTTGTGTGTGTGTCATAATATATATTTCTTTATAAGGACTTTGGTAAAAAATATTTACCAAAGAAAGCAGTGTAAATCAGTTCTCAATATATGATTCTTATTCCACAGAGTTTTCCATATTAAGCTTCAGTTAATCACAAAGTACAGCATCACACTCAGTGGTTCTCAAATATAAATGCATTTTGTATAACCAGAGATGCTTTAAAAAATGCACATTCCTGGGATCCAGCCCCAGAAATTCTGAGTTGATAGGCCTGAGATGAAGCTTGTGAAGCAACACTTAGAATGAGTACCATATGTTGATGCGGGTGGTCCATGGCTCCCACTTTGAGAAATGCTGGCAGAGGTAGACATTTGCTTGGAGCTACACACAGTAAGTCCTCAATGTCATCAAGAGGATCTGTGACTGTAAGTGAAACATGTATAAGGAAACCAATTTTACCATAGGCTAATTGATATGAACAAGAGTTAAGTTCCTATGACCTATCATCCGTCTATAATAATAAAAGCATAATATGCTAATTAGACCAGATGTCCTTCTGGACGTCATTCAGTCTTTCTGGACAAAGCCAGGGCTGTGAGGGAAGCCTGGGTCCCAGGTGCCAGAGGAAAGCTGGTGCCAGCAGCTAGGGGAAGGAAGGACTGCTCTTGCATGAATTTTGTGCATTGGGCCTCTAGTGTTATAATAAAACATTGTTGGCCATAACAATGTTATCTGAGGACTCTTCAGTATTTTGGAAGAGTTTTGAGAAGAATTGGTGGAATTCACTAGTGAAGCTCTCCAGTCCTGGGCTTTCATTTGTTGGGAGATTTTTGACTACTGATTCAGTCTGCTTGCTCATTATTGATCTGTTCAGAATTTTCTATTACTTCATGATTCAGACTTGGTGGGTTGTATGTTTCATGAATTAATTTTTTTCTAAATTATGTAATTTATTAGCATATAATTACACATAGTGTCTTGTAATACTTTGTGTTTCTGTGTTACCAATTGCAATGTCTCTTCTTTTGTTTATAATTTTTATTAATTTGAGTTCTCTTTTCCTTTGGTAGTCTAGCCAATGACTTGTTACTTGTTTATCTTTTCAAAAGGAACTTGCTAAAACAGAGTCGTATAGCAGCCTTGTATAAGCTCAGAATCTAGAAAATTCTAAATTAATTGTTCAGTGTGCCTATTTTAAATCCTTTACGTATTCAAATGTCTTCAGTAAGTAGAATTTCCAGGTGATTTAATATTTAGGGCTCTTAGATTTAAAACTGTAAATTATACACTGATTATAATGCTGGTTCCTATGTAAGTTTTTAAGTGCTTTTTTAAAATGAAGGGTTGTTGTGGGAAGTGTCATGTTAAGAGAATTTCCTTGCAGTCGTGAGAAGAAGTATGTATTAGAGTAAATCATATTAGACAGCAAGATCTTCCATCATTTTTTTAATCCAGCAGTTCTGGGAAATGCAAGTCAATTAGAGAAATTAAATCTTCAGCAGAAACCCTAGCTTTCTCGGATCATTATAACCTTCAATCAGAATGATTATGTATAACTTGGAGGAGTCCCCATATACCAGACTTACTATATAAAGGAAATGAATTCAATGAGGAACTCAAGAGTTCATCAGCCAATAATACAAGTCGAGAAGAAAAGAAGAAATAATTATGAGTAATCATGTGTCCTTTTGAAACTGCAGACTCTGATGCATAATAGGAAATCACCAAGTATAGAATGCAGTGCTCTCATTCTACCATGAAAAATGTCCGTGCCTTATGAGACGTGCCTCGAAATATTACATTTCTTTGCATGGGTGAATTAAATATTTCAGACCAGAGTGTATCTTGTTTTCCTCGGCTCTCTTTTGTTCTGTTATTTATCTGTTTGTCGTCTTGTTAAAAGCTTAGGTTTGTGTCTGTTTTTTGGAATCTGTTGGTCAAGACTCTGTGGTATGGGAGGTGGACTTAGGTGCAGGGGCTTCTCCGGTGCCCACCTGAGGGAAGACGGTGGCATTTTGGGGCAGCGCCTTCCAACAATGACAGAGTTGAGAGGTGCCTCAGTGTTGCCCATTGATTTGGCTCTTAATCAAGAGCCAAACAGATCAATAATCTAGTGTTTCTTGATCATCTACTGTGTCCCTGTGAGTACCTCTTCTTGCATGGTGTCAGATCACCTCTGAAGATAGAAACACAAAGTGAGGCATCCCTGGCCTCCAAGATATTGAGCCTGGAAGGTCATCTGTGCGTGTCTACACAAAGCAAAGGCACAAGAAGGCACTGGGCACAGAAGGACAGAGGCAGGACTGGGAGTGATGCCTAGGAGCCCAGAGAGGGGCTTTCGTTTGCAACAAGGCACGAGAGAGGCAGTGACCCTTGACATGGGCCATGAAGATTGAGTGGGACTTTCACTGGAATGGGTGGAGGAAACCTATTCCGGGAGGAACCACCGAGCAGAGGCAGGAGGCCCCAGCCATGTCCATGCCATGAACAGCCATCTTCTGGCTGGTCACTGTGTGGCAGTGGGGGACAGACCAAGGACAAAACAGGGTCCCTGTCTGTGCACCTTGATGGTCTGCATTTGGGGGTTGCAGCCCTGTGGCCATGTGCACATTTTAAAACCCACAACTGCCAGACCACTTTGGGGCAAATCAGTGCTCTGCATTGGAATGTCCTTGCTTTTCATGGCTTGGCTGCCTCTTATACACTGTTTCAAATACTACTGAACAAGGAGTGCTAGTATGTGAATCTTCTGCCCAACGAGCAGTGTTTCTGAGTGAAAATAGGGGATGTTTTGAGGGAAGAGGCCTGATGGTCTTGCAGAAGCTGGTTTCTCTTTTTCCTGTTGCATCATGTGTTCTGGTGCTGGTTCCGATGAGCTTGAGATGGGAGGACTGCCTCCCACTTCCAGGTTCTTCTTTTTCTGGAGTTTCCAGATCAGCCCTCTTCCTTTGTCGAGGATACTTGTTAAAGATCAGAGTGCCTTCCCAATGGCAGAAAAGAAGGTGGGGTTCCCAAGATAATGGTTAATTATAAGAAGTGCCGGCGTTGAGTGATTAGAAGAAGGATAGTACCATTATCCATTCGCAGGTGGACGGATAGCTGAGCACGGTGACCTGGCAACCACTCTGGGAACCACAGTGCCCATGACAGCTAATGTGCTTCCCAGGCCATCAATGACTCTGTCCCCACCCTGCCTCTGTGTGCACTGATGTCCAGCTCCCTGGTGAGGCCTTAAACATAAGGCCATCACATATGTGTGCCACCAGGCCCGCAGTAACAATGCGTGTCTCCTGCTGGGCAGCATTGGTCAGGGCAGGGTTTCGTATAGAGGAAGGAGTGGGGTTTGGAGGGAAGTAGAGGCTGCTGGTGCCAGATGGGCACTGGCTCCGTGGGGTGAGAGGTTCCTGTGTGGGCAGAACTAACTGTGTTAGTTCCCATCCCTGTCCAATCACTGCCCAGTACACAAGTTAATATGGTTAACCTCTTGGAGGGGGATCATGAATTATGAGTCAGGTACAACCTGAATGAGGACAGCCTTGCTGTTACCCTGCATTTGGACATGTCAGTCCTCTCTGCCCTGCAAAGTAGCTATAGCTCACCCCGCAGTCTGGGAGGGTCTCAAAGAGCATGAACCTTAAGACAAGCAAAGCAAGAGACCTGCTCCTGGCTTTGAGAGAAACATGGGTCTCAAGATGGCACATGAGTCATGGGCAACCTAGAGACCCCCTTGGATGAACAGACGAAAGACCAGGCAATGCCCCAGGGTAACACTTTCCAGAAAACTGAGCAAATAGGGCAGGGAGAAGTGAGTTGAGCCTGGCTTACAGGAGCTGGGCTTTGGAAACCCCCAGGGAGACAAAGATGGCTGCATCTGGACAGTATGGGAGACTGGGAGGTAGCTGTCCTTCACTTAGGCCAACCGAGGACTGAAGAGGCTGTGGAGCACAACCACAGTTCTACTCACAGGAGAGATGACCTCGGCCCCGGCTGGAGAAAAGAGGGAAGGTCAAGCCCTGAGGGAGAGGAGAGAGCCTGTAAATGTGGGGCAGTGCTGAATGTTAGGGTGAAAGGGCCTTTGTGCAGTGAGGACACCGAGGCCAGAGAAATGAAGTGATTCGCCCCCGATACATTAGAGGCAGGGCTAGCATTAGAATAATTCATCTGTTTACATGTTTACTCACAAACACCTTCACTCGTGGGGGCCAGGCACGGTTCTAGGTCCTGGATCCGGGTTTCCTGACTCATCCGCCAGAGCCCTTCCCATCACCAGGCCTCCTGCCTTGATCTGAATCTGAAAAGCATGTCTGGCATCGGACTCAGATAGGTTGGGCCCACAGATTACCAAGATAAAAACCCAAGCTCGCTCCCAGATCTGAAAGAAGATGAGAGGTCTAGGAAGGGGTAGCAGAACTGGTTCCGCTGATTAAGTTACAAAATATAAGTGCAATTTAGCATTTGACAAGTTTATGACTCTATATTTGTGTTGAACTTTACCCAAGTGGAAGACATACTTTTAAAAATGGAAATAGGTTTTTGAACTTGTTTTTTACTACATCAGGATTAGAGAGAAGTTGAGGGATAGGGATAGGCCAGGTATAGGGAGGGCTCAGATATGAAAAGAAGGGTGATGTCAGCAGGAAAAGGGGGATTTGCCAAGTGTCAGGCATCTGTGAAGGTGGAATTAGGAGCTAGGACAGGACTATAAGTGGTTCTCTAGTTCTTCCTGGTAGGAGACAGTCTCCATCCCACTAGGTACTGAATGAATTCCTGGAACTTGTGCGGAGATCTGTCCCATTTCAGAAGGTCCTGCTGTGCCTGGGAAAGAACAGCATCAGGAAGACACGTCTTGGCCTCACTGCTCTGGGCCTGGGAATCCTCGCCCGTGCCAGAGACAGCAGTAGCTGATGCTTACATAGTGCTTTCTACTCCTGGCCGTGTTTACTTAGCTAATAACTTGATGAGACGGTTAAGGAAGCTGTTATTATTCCTATTTAGCAGATGAGGCAGCTGAGGTTCTGGGAGGTGAATGCCTAGATCACAGAGTTAATCTTTCGAGAACCAGATCTGAGGCCGTTCTGGTCTCCTGAACCCAAGTCTGTCATTTTCCTTGTCTCGCTCTTCTGCATGTCCTGAGCGTGGGAAAGGAATCCAGATTTAGATCGGTTTGGGGATAGGCATGTATCAAGACTATCAGGTCTGGCTCCTGGAGCTGAATACAGAGGAGAGGATGCAAGGTGGAGCCATTCCAACAGGATTCCATTTCCTTGGCCTAGTGGTTTCATTGCCTCAGAAGGTATGGAGATTTTCCTGGGTTTTGTTGACATAGCCTTCACTGGTTCAAGTTTTCTCCATCTCTCTCTCACACACACACACACACACACACACACACACACACACACATATATTCATTAATCATGACAGTACAGTTTTCAATTTGGGAAAATTACTGAGAAGCAAGACATAAACTGCTGTTAAAACTTCCCTAGGTGTTTGTTCTTGGTACCTTTAATCCCCGTGTATTTCCAAAGAGTCTGGGTCATCCTGTCACTGCCTGGTCGCCTCATTGCCCTCGGGGTTACAAAAGAAACATGTCCAGATGTGGACGGCCTTGGTCGTGTATTTTCCAGGGGTCTCTGTTGACCTGGGAAGCCTGAGGGACTGTGTCTGTCTTCCCCTTTAGAGCTGCCAACTTCCGGAACTTTACCTTCATCCAGCTGAACGGCGAGTTTTCCCGGGGGAAGGGCCTGGACGTAGGAGCCCGCTTCTGGAAGGGGAGCAACGTCCTTCTCTTTTTCTGTGATGTCGACATCCACTTCACCTCCGAGTTCCTCAACACGTGCCGGCTGAACACACAGCCAGGTAAGGGTGTGCGGCGTCTGCTCCTCTCTCTCTCCCTCAGGGGGCCTTTGGCTCCCACACTCCGGGCATCACTCTCTTCACCATTCACTCTGCTGTCCTGCTTCTGACTCGGCCTTAATCCCCCCAAGGACAAAGGAAAGGAAGACCACCTGGTTGGATTTCTCCTTCGGTGCCACAGTGCGGGCTTGTCAGCCACCGGAATTCTAAGACTCCTTGTCCCAAGCTAACTTCTTTTCCGTTTTCACCTGGGAGGCCAGCCGGCTTTCATGAACATTCACAGGAGAGAGACAGTGAGGGTGTGACCTGGAGAAACTTCCTGAAACCAAAGGGAAAGGAGTAGCTGTGGGTGGTCACCAAGGGAAGAAGTGAGTGGAGCAGCAATAACTCACAATGTGGAAATTATTCTCATGGCGTTTGACTTATAGGCAAGATTGGTATTCAGCTGATCACTACTGGAATGGGCAGGCCTGTTGTTAAAATACTGAAACTCTTCAGATAAATTGATAAAGAGTAACGCCCTGAACTCCCTACGTCTGCGCCTGCTGCACAAAGTCACCCCAGCCTCTGGGAACCCTTCAGACTTCCCCACAAGCCAGCAATGAAAGGGTTAATGTCTGGCAGGGCAGAGGGCATTAGGATAAGGTGACCAGACATCCCGCTTTTGGTGGGACAGTCCCAATTTCTAACAATGTGTCCCACGGCGTTTTTAAAAAAGTCCCGATTTTTGGATTTCCAAAAATCGGGACTTTTTTAAAAACGCCGTGGGACACATTGTTAGAAATTGGGACGTCTGGTCACCTTACATTAGGACTGTCTTTCACACCCACTCTCATTGGTTGATATTGCTATTTTGAATATCACTCCTGGGCTCAGAGGCTAGACATCTTTGAGAGTCTGTTCATCCAGTCACCCTGGTGCAGAACTTGTAAGGTCTGCGTTAGACTTGAGTGGAGGGAAAAGGGAGAGCCGATGCAAATGCCTGGGATGTTTCCGTGGGTTGACTATAGATGAGCACACCTATAGAGGTTTCATCTGTTGCTTTCAGCGAATGTTTGTGTTCTGGTCTGCAGGGAAGAAAGTATTTTACCCAGTCCTCTTCAGTCAGTACAACCCCGGCATCATCTACGGCCACCATGATGCGGTCCCTCCCTTAGAGCAGCAGCTGGTGAGTAACTCCCCGCAGGTGCCTCTTTGGGGCTGTTTCATGTCTGTCATTACTAGGGTGCCTGACCAGGAGTACAGGTGCGTGGAAATCTGCGGATTGAGTCCTGTATTCATTTTCACGTTTGGCAGACGCGCTGGCCTTTGCTCCCAGTGCCTTGTTGATGAAAAGTGCTTGCAATATTTAAAAGTGGAAAACAGATAGGAACAGTACCTTACAGAAAGGTAATTTCACACCTTCCTAGTTTTCTCCTGTGGTTTTTAGAAACCGATGTTCTTGCGTTATGGATGCAGCGCATTTTCTCTTTATTATTAACAAACCCTGCAAGGTAAGAAAGGTGACATTGTGTTCCCATTTGGCAGATGGAAACCGGAAGTCAGAAAGGGGTTGTCACCCCAGGACACAGGGAGCGAGTCGGTGGGGGAGCAGGGACTAGATCCAGCACCCTCCCATCATGCTGTCATTCCCACATATCACGGTGACTGGGGTGGACATTAGCATCAGCAGTGTCACAGGCGGGTGGCTTCTCTGCTATGATCTTAGCTGCACAGGCGATGGATGGTGGAGCCACAAAGCCACCATTCTGTAAGCCGAGTTGTCTCCATTGGTGGTGGCAGGAGTCAGTCCGCTTAGCAGAGAAGCAGGGCAGCAGCAGGAAGATGAGACAAGCCAGAAGAGGGTCTCTGTGCCTCACAGAGGCATGCCCCTCGGAGAATCAACTTCCTGTTCTTGTCAAGTTGGGCTTGTCAAGGTGGTGTTGCAGCTCAGGCTGGGTCTCCGGGGAGCATCTGACCTGGGGTCGTCTGTTCGTTGCCTTGGTTCGCTCTGTCTCCTGTTTGAAGCAAAGCCATATTTCCTCCCATTGAGCACCTCATAGGCTGGGCAGGAAACTGCTGTGTGAGGATGGTCATGTGACAGGACCACGTCTCCCATGCTTCTGTGCAATGGGAGAGGAAACTGATTTTCATGGGAAATATATGTTGTTGTTGTTTTTTAAACACACACACACACACACACACACACACACACACACACTGTTTTTATTCATTTTGGAGAGGAAGAGAGAGGGAGAGAGAGAGATAGAAACATTAGTGATGAGAGAGAATCACTGATTGGCTGCCTCCTGCACAGCCACTGCTAGGGATTGAGCCTGCAACCCAGGCCTGTGCCCTTGACTAGAATTGAACTTAGGACCCTTCAGTACGTAGGCCAACGCTTTATCCACTGAGCCAAACCAGCTAGGGTAAAAATATGTGCTTTATGAGATTCTTTTGTAGGATGGATTCTGTGTTCAAGCTTCCAAAAGTAGCAAAACCTGTTTTCCCAGCCGTTTCCTGTGCCCCGCTCCAATTAACCTCCGGCAGCGGATGTTCCAGAAAGTGTCAGCTCGGGTTCTTTCAGGTTGGACAAGCTCATGTCCTAGCACGGTTTCACTTGGGACACAAGCCATACAGGACAGTAATAATACAGCTTTCCCTTCCCCCGGATATGGTGAATGTCTCTTTATGTACCATATGTACCAGTAAGAGGTTTTACTCCCCAAAACCAATTTTTTACAAAAATATATTTTTATTGATTTTTTACAGAGAGGAAGAGAGAGGGACAGAGTTAGAAACATCAGTGAGAGAGATTCATCGATCAGCTGCCGCTTGCACACCCCCTACTGGGGATGGGACCGCAACCAAGATACATGCCCTTGACCGGAATCGAATCCAGGACCTTTCAGTCCGCAGGCCAACGCTCTATCCACTGAGCCAAACTGGCCTCGGCCCCAAACCAATTTTTATCTACCCTCATTGAGACAGAAAAACTTCTTATTCCCATTCTGTAAGAGTTCTAAGCTTCTGATAGGTTTTGAGAGGGGAATGGGAAACAATTTATTTTCCTTCAACCAATCAGAATAAAAGTCCCTTTGATGTTGAATAAAATACCACATGACATTTGACATCAAATGAGATTACAGTTTTTACTTTAAACTCCTGAAGACCTTATTTGCTTGCAAGGAATTCTTGTCGTTTTACAGGTTAATAGGTTTATCCTGTATTGCCATTCCTGCAGGGAAGCAGGAGGAAAGGGAAGCCAGAGGTATGAATTAGAGGTCAGGCCATATTGCTGTATCGACAGCTGGAACCTCTAAGTTATCCTGCAACCTTTAACATTTCCTAGACCACATAAGTTTGCTCTTTCGGGGTTCACTATTTGTGACTATTTAGTCCAGAGAAACACAGCATTTGTCTGTGCGATGCAGGGGTCTCCATCCAAAAAAGGAAAGTATTGATTTTGTTCTTTACTGGGTGAGCCATTTTTTGTGCACTTGCTGCCTACAGAGAACTAGTTAGGTGTTAGGGAAGCAGAGAACTGAAACAGTTCTATGTACTCAGAAGTGATTGCAATATAATTTCAACTACTCTCTTGTCTATAGATTTACTGAAGATCACACAGACAGCTGGTAGCTGAGCACAGGCCCAAACTAGGATTTCCTGACTCTAGTGCAGGGGGAATAAATAGATTTGCTTAGAGTCTAGATGAGAGCTGAAATGTAAAGGAAATGACCTGACAAAAAGCCCAAAGGAGAACATCAAACTACAGACGCTAATATAGAGATGGAATGTGGAGGAGCTAATGAGTTATAAAATAAAAAGGAATGATAAACCTTAGCTGGTTTGGCTCAGTGGATAGAGCATAGGCCCTGGGGCTGAAGGGTCCCAGGTTCGATTCTGGTCAGGAGCATGTACCTCGGTTGCAGGCTTGATCTCTGGCCCCATTAGGGTGCATGCGGGAAGGCAACCAATCGATGTGTCTTTCTCACATTGATGGTTCTCTCTGTCTCTCCCTATCCCTTTCATTCTCTCTAAAAATCAAGGGGAAAATATCCTTGGGTGAGGAATTATAAGAGAGGGATAGATTAGGAAAAATTTCCTACCAAGGGTTCATTTGCACTCAGTCTAGAAGTGTATGGTGCATGTATATTAATGTATATTAATGCATTCTTATATTTTATTGATTTTTCCACAGAGAGGAAGGGAGAGGGATAGAGAGCTAGAAATGTCAATGAGAGAGAAACATCGGCCAGCTGCCTCCTGCACACCCCCTATCGGGCTTGTGCCGCAATGTTCATGCCTTTAACCAGAATCGAACCTGGGACCTTTCAGTTCACAGACCGATGCTCTATCACTGAGCCAAACTGGCTTCGGCATATTAATGCATTCGTGATAGCCTTCCTGGAATACATCAGTGTCCAAAGGGAGAACATAGGTCCCGATTGTCACTGTAGCAAAAGTTATTTATTCTTGCCAACAAGAGGCATCTTTTCCAGTAGCCCTGCAGATATGATCTCATCGTCAAGGTGCTGGCCATTACTTCTCCTGGCTACCAGCATTGCCACTCTCATTGGATAATGTTTTGTCTGGTGGCACAAGCAAGAAACCACACATAGGGTATTTGTGAGTATGTTCAGACTACTTGTTTCTCTACATTTGAGTACAGACCAATTAGTAATAAGTAGTAAGTGAAATCATGGGACTTTATCCGAATATTGAATTTCTCGAAACTTGCTGGTGCTTTCATGTAGAAGCAGCTCTCTGAGAAAGAAATGGCTGTAACTTCAATAATTATTCACATTCCACTTTCCTGGCTCAAGCTTTGTGAGTTCTTGCTAGGGCCATGGTGGGGAGCCTCTAACCACTTCTGTCTTTAGACTCCTTCCCTCTTCTGTACTCAGTCTTTCCTTCATCCTCTGCCAGAGATACAGTTCCAAAGTGAAGATTAATTCCATTAAAAACTTTTTTTTCATGACATAAAGCCAGTGGTGTGCTAGTAAATGTTGAACAGCCCACTCTCTGAAATGGGGGGAAAGGCCCAGATTCAGAGCGTTGGCCATTTCCCGTGGTGTCAATTTCTCCACTGAGGCCTATTCCAGGCTACCGATGTGATGTCACTCAACACAGAGTTGGGAAGAAACTTGCACAACCCTGGATGCTCTAGCATAGCCCCGATTCCTTGTTGGGATTAACTTTCTTCTACAAACTGACCCTAAAACTGATTATGGAGAAAATGTTTGCAAACCTCAGCACCTGGCACAGGGTACCAGAGTGATAGACACCCAAGCCAGCCGCTCTGCCAGGTGAGCACCCTGCTCAGTGCCTTCTCATCTCCTTCCATCTCCTCACCTCTTCTACTGCCCCCAGTGCCTGGCATCAGAGTCTGCCATGCGGCCCACCCATCATTTCAGTCTGATGACTTTGTGCCGCTCTGTTCGGTGTGTCATGGTATGTCCTCACCCTCTTTCTGATTAAACCCTTACCTCTACCGCCCAAAAGTATTTACCACTACACTTTCACGGCACTGACTTGGAAAACTGCCCATGATGCAATTAGGGCCCTAAAATAAAATAACATATATTCAGGCGGAGTATTTCCTCTAAAGACAAGAGAGTCTCTCGAGGCCTGAGGTTGTGTCTGAGCATTTCACTTTAAACTCCTGAAGAGTGCTGGCCAGGCACAGTCTGTTTTTATTTATTTGGGGAGCAGATACTCACTGAGCACCAAGAGTAACGTTAACAGAGGCAATCCGTGCAGTGGTTTGTAAGCCAGCACCGTGCCCGCATTATCTCGTGTCGTGCTCTGGTTTGAGTTAGTGGTCAGGCCATCTACTGCATGCGAAGAGACATCATTATGCTCAGTTCACAGACGAGAACCTTCAAACTCAGAGGCAGAAGTCACTTGCCCAGACTGCTGAGTGGCAGGATCGGGAGTGCAGGTACCACCAGTGTGATGGAGACAGGGCTGATGATGCCGAAGGGACGTGTTCTTTGGCCTTAGTGCGCTTCAGGAGAGCACAGAGTCTGTCCTTTGGTTACAGACCCCCAACAGAGGAAACTTGGACCATTCCTTGTCCAACATGCTACCCTTCAGAAGACACTTGATGTGTTTAATGCAGATATTGATAAAAGACACCTTGTTGGAAGTGTGGGTTAGTACAAATCTTGAAGGGGATGGCATTTGAGTCTGTTCTTAAGCCAATTCTTTGAAAGCTTTGGCGCCAGAATACTTTATTCAAGAGATAGACATGGTCATGGCACCATGCCTTCCTCTGGGCACATGGGTACCATATGCAGCCCCTGGAATCGTGCACAGGGTGCTCGCCCAGCCCTCGGGCACATGCATACCACATGCTGGCCCTTGGAATCTTGCACCGTGTGCTCATCAAGCCTTCGGTACCAGAGAATAAGAACTGCATAGTGTGGGGTCAGGAGGCACCCAACTGAGCCATAGAGGACCCTGAATTTCAAGGTGTCTGTAGACAGGGCTGGCTACTCACCCTGCATGGCCCAGTGAAAGCACAGGGCCCTTATTCAAAACTCATTAAGAAATTCAAGATGGCAATTGCAGAGCATTAAACCAGGCCCGAAGCCTCCTCACATGGGGCCTGTGGACTGCACACCGCCTGCTCGCCTGCCTGCCTGCCAGCAGTGAGGGCAGAAATTAGGTTAATGGACACCATTCAGTATTTCTGGTGAACATGAGGCTCCTCAGACACTACCTCAGGTCTCTGGAGATTCTTTTGTCTTTAGAGGAAATATTCCGCCTGAATATATGTTACTTTTATTTTATCTTAGGGCCCAGATTGCATCATGGGTAGTTGTCCAAGTCAGTGCCATGAAAGCAGACAGACGCTGCCTGCAACCCCAGCCCCCGTGTACCTGCAGGGTGGCGGCCTTCCCCTGTCTTTGGAGGGAGGTGCTGATGTATGCCTTGTGTTTTGGTCCTAATGTAAAATAATCACCCCAATCATAGGAATCACCCACAGAGCAGAAGGCCTCGCAACTTCCTGAGGGAGAACTGTCCTTTCCGGTGTGTTTTCCTGCCCTGCGGTGCTCCGATGGGATCCAAGGTGGGGGAGAAAGGAGGTTCAGAGAGCTAAGAGGAGGCCGGCCCTGGACAGAAATTGTTAAAAGTGAAGATAGCACTTGAAAAGACATCGGGAAATTCAGGACAGAAGGGGGAGATGTTTCTCTCCCAAAGTCTAATCTCTATCGTAGGGCTGCTTCTTCCTCCTAGACTGGTGTGTCTGTTCAGTGCTTGACCAGAAGAGAGGTTCTCCTTATGCCTCGAGCAAAGGTGCTAAGAAGTTAAGCCCTCTGCTTAGACCCCGGGAAGGGGAGAATGTTTTTGGCTGCTGGTCCAGAGTGACAATTCTGAGGGCTTTCCCAAAGGAATTCCTAGGCCTTCATTGGTCCAATCCCTGGCAAGATTCTGGGCTTGGACCATGTACATTTCCACTGGCTTGATGTTGTCTCTGCTCCTCATTTGTTCATCGGAGAAGTGTAGCAGGTCCTCAGATAAATTCATTTTGTTCAGCGTTGGTTCATTATAATATTAATGAGGTGCCTGAGTAGGAACTCAACTGTTTATATCAATTAGCCTATGGTAAAATTGATTTTGATGTACATAATTGGGCTTGAAGTCGTAGTACCCATCGATGATGTTAACTGATGGCTTACCAAATTTATTGAGTCTCGCTACGTGGGAGACAGTGATCTGGGTGCTGGAGACCAAGCTTGCACTCACCAGAGGTGGTGGGTAAAGACAGTCGGCTGAGAAACAAATACAACAGGGTGATGTTCATAGAGAACATCAGCCAGGTGATGGTGTAGAGCAGTGTTTCCCAATCTTCTCTCATGATGAGAATCACCTGGTGGAGTTGTTAAGTGTACACTAGTTAAGCACTAGTTAAGTATACGATTTTACCTACTATATGTCCCCAAAAATTCTACATAGTTTAGTACTTCTTAGTTGGGATTCAGGAATCTGTATTTTAACAATTCCACCAGGTGATTCTCATCATAAGAGAAGTTTGGAGAACATTGGTGTAGAGTGTGGCATGGCTGGGAAGGGTTGACAGTGGCTGGAAGGGCCTGAATGAATGACTCTGAGCAGTGACATTGGAGCAGAGCCCAAGGGTGAGCAGGGAAAGGGTGAACCTGGGAGGGATCTCTGCGGGTATTCAGCTGTGGAGACCTGTCAGCTTGGCGAGTTCACGGGGCAGAATATAAGGGGTCTGTAATGTAAGGGACACATGAGCTGGGCAAGGCAGGCAGGGGCCAGGTGCCGTGGGGCCTTTGCAGGCTGGAGGTTTCCTCGTGGATTTCACTCTAATTGCATTAGAGAGCATGCAATTAAAACCCTGGCAGGGCTTTAAATGGGACCATGCTGTGATCTGATGTGCACTGGGGAGCGCTCGCTACCAGCTCGGCTGCTGGTCCGGGGCACCCCTCCAGTCAGCGGCTCCGCGCAGCTGCGTGGGGTGGGCCCTTAATAAGTGAACTCTAATAAGTGCGCTCCATCTCGCCCTGACAGCATGTGCTGTGGGCACGATCGGTTCCCACCCAGGGCTACGTTTCAATGAGCTCTTCAGACAGTGACTTGCTCACATTAAAGCCAACGTTCATACGTATTTACGTAGCTCCTTCCCAGCTCACACCTCCATTTGTTTCTGTCACGCTGCCTGCAGCTGAGGGCCATTCCTCACCATGCACAGGGTTACCGGGGACTGTGTCCACTCACCCCCGCCCTGGAGTGGCTACTTCTTGCAACCTGCGCCCCTTTGTCTTTCTTCCCAAGCCCTGGCACATTGTTTTCCCTGTTTGGACCTTTCTCATTTACACTCATATACACCTCCGCCACGTATGTGAAGTTGGATGCTGGCACTATTCTTCGACTCCACTTTTATCCAGAAGCTTAGAAAACTTGTCTGCATCCTGGGGAGAAAAAAAGGGATATTAAGCCAGTAGCTGCATCAGGAACAGCTTACCTGGTATATCAGGGATGAAGCAGAAATCAGTTTTTAAAATGACTCTGGAACAGCTTACCTGGTATATCAGGGATGAAGCAGAAATCAGTTTTTAAAATGACTCAGTAGAGTCATTTTCTTCCTTTTTTTTTTTTTCTTTCTTTTTTTCTTTTTTTACTTTTCTGCCCTGGAAAACCTTTGTGGTTGATACTAATGAAATTGTCTTGTCACTTGGGAAGTTTGTATCACAGGCCTTTGTTCTGAAGAAGGATTGGAGAGTGTGTGCTGGGGACCACAGTAGCCGGCAGAGCCGCTGGTGGTCTTGGTTTTCTGTGGCAGGCCTGATGCATGCTGGCGGCAGTGCAAGCGGCATCCCCGTGGAGGTGATAGTGAAAATAAGATTGTTTCCTAGGTCCCAGAGTAAAAGAGGGTTCAAGTTCATCAGCCTTTTGGCAAGCCGTTTGTCCAGTACAGCGTAGCCTGTGGCAGAGATACAGGGAAACTTCAGGGAGGTGAAATAGTAGTGATAGGATCAATGTTTGGATCTTAGAGCTGGAAGAGACCTTAGGGATGGTTTAGCTCAACCTCCTCAGTTATTGGAAAGGAAACAGGGACTCGAAGAAGTGTGGGGCCTACTTGAGGCAGAAAAGCCAGCCAGTGGTCAACATGGGACGAGACACACACTGTGTCTCCTTAGCTGTGAATGGAGCCGGACGTCCCCGGTGGGAAAGGCAGCAGTCCGTGTGGATGGGGACCTGGTGCGGCCTCCCCTTCACCCACCCACCCAGGGGACTTCCTTTCCTGGAAGCACCTCTGTGAACTCAAAAATGAGTCATGAAAAATAGCGATTAAAATAGGCCCCCAAGCCATTCCCAGAATTACCTCAGCCAAAAATATAGAAGCAAACTTTGTCAACGTCTTGCTGCTGCTTCAGCCAGAACCTTGGAAATTTACTCGCAAAGTAAGAGGTTGGGCAGGGCCAGGGCTGGCTTTTGGAAGGCCATCACGGCTTGGATGGCCTCTCGGCAGCCTGGCCGCCTGGGCAACGACCGGCAGATGCTTTGGGGAGCCGTTTGGCTGGAAAGCAAAGATGAATGGACAGAGTCTTCCTTCATAACCTGGACGCGCCGGGCCCCTTTCCTCCACAAGCAGGAGCGGAGCCCGAGTCACACGCTGCAGCCCCGGGTTTTCCTTTCATTGCCCGGGGGAGCTCCGGGTGTGCGCGGTGCCAGGGCAGCTGAATCCCGAGTTGTTCTCTCTCCCTTCTCTCAACTTCCTGAGCCCTTTGCTGGCTCCCAGCCCGGCCCTGTGTGAGGGGCCGAGGCCTCCAATTCTCGCTGGCACTGGTGTCGGGCCAGACACGTAGGTGGCTTTTCCATGGCGCCGCTCAAAAACTTGCTCCCCGTTTGTTTTTGAGTGAGTGAGAGTGTGTGTGTGTGTGTGTGTGTGTGTGTGAGTGTGTGTGTGTGTGTGTGTTTCCATGCCTTGTACCCTAGAAACATTCCAGCCCAGAGGTGCCAAAAATCACAAGGCCCTGTGTTGGGATTGGGGAGCCGACTGTGTTCCTAATCGTCCAGAAGGACTCAAACCCATCTGCAGTTCCCCTACGGGGTTGTGGCTGTTTATCAGGGCGGGACTGGGCTTGCTTTTTAACATTGCTTAATGTGGATAAGCTCTGTTTCTTGTTATCCACTCTGTCCTTCCCTCTCAAATGACGGTGCTCTCCCTGCAGGTCATAAAGAAGGAAACTGGATTTTGGAGGGACTTTGGATTTGGGATGACATGTCAGTACCGGTCAGACTTCATCAACATAGGTAAGGCAGACCCACTGGCAACCAGTCTGCATCTCTACTGCCACCTAGAGGCCAGGGAAGGGCTGTGAGGGAGCCTGGCCGTTCAGCTTCCAAGTTGCCTGATGGCAAAGGAGGTGCCACTTGTTCAGAAAAGGCAGCTCAGGTTCATTCCTCTTGTCAGGGGCTTGGAGCTGGGCCAGTAGGTGGCCTGGGAGTGTGCGGTGCTTTAACCCCTGTAATCTCCACCAGCACCTCTCAGCCACCCCACATAAGGCTCCCCTCTGCGGATTCGAGGCAGCTCATTGGATAAAGACAGCGTCCAGATGGTTCCCCTAGTCCTAGTGCTGACTTCCAACCTGTCTGGCTCCTGTGCCCCATCATGGAGGCCATCCTGGGCCTCCCCAGTAGGGGGAATCCATTAAAAAATATATAGGGTAACATGGGGAATTTTAGAAAATCACACACCAGGAAATCTTGGGAAATCTGCTGTACCTTCAAAAATTCCAGATGTCACCTGAAGCTCTGAGTGTACCATCACTGTGCACACACACACACACACACACACACACACACACACACACATTCCCAGAGCACAGACAGGGCAGGCCCTTCGGTTGCAGTTGAGGAGACCAAGGTTCTCAGAGGCCAAGTGAGGGACACCGTCAGGATGTTGTCCCCCTTGGGAGTTCCACACTCTCCCCACGGCAGTCGTAACTCATGGGCCTCTGAAGGGAGTAGAATTGTGGGTGATAGGTGACTTGGGAGTGAGTGATCAGGCCAGAAACCTCGATCTTGGGCTCTGGCTCCACCTGCTCTCTCCTGTCTACTCCCCCTTCAGCCCAAGGCCTGCAGCTTCTCTTTTTAAGGTGCATGAGTCTATCTGAGCAGCCCCGGTTTTGGTCAGAGGTAGAGGTGGTCTGCAGGGCCTGCAGAGTGCTCGCAGGAATCACCAGTTAAAGATAAAAATAAAACTCAAATGGCTTGCAGTCAGGTCTCGTAAGCAGCCGCAGTGCTCCTAGGAAGCCAGTCTCCCAGGAGCGGGAGACTGGATAACCAGCAGCGAACCACAGGTGTGCTTTGATTTGTTTAAGAAATAAGCCTAAATGATTTTGTGCAAGTCAGTTTCCAAAATGACATATATATATATATATATTTCTAAAGGAGATTTCCATTTTAAGAAGCTGTTTCCTTGCTCTTTATACAGGGAGAGAGTATTTTGTGATGATCCTTATTTATCAAATGTGGGGTGATGATACATTTTTTCCCCCCTAAAGACGGGGCGTTGATAGACCAGAAAAAAACATGGGAATGGCAGCTGGGAAGGTGCTCTTTCTCAGTTGGCTGTTGCTATGAGCTCAGAAAGAATCTTTGGGTTACATCTGTCCCCCATTATTCTTTGCAACCTTGCATTCATTTGCAAGCATCACATACTCGCATAACTTTTACTTAATAAGATGTAATGATACCGATGAGAATCATAAATCAGTTACAGCGAACTAAGCACTTACATGACTGTCTCGTCATGGGTTATGACACCTACTTCATTTCAGGATAGAGAAACCAGAGCTCACGAGAGGTAAAGTGGGAGCTTGGATGAGAACCAAGACTCAGATTCCAGACCCCTGACTCAGAATGGTCTCTGCCTGTACACTGTTGGGGGGAAGACGGAGCCCTCGTATACATGGACCAGGGGTGGGCGCAGTGTGGTCTCTGTGTGTGGGGAGCCCCCCGTGAGGAGTCCAACAATAATAGCCTTGATCGGAGCAGCATGGTGTGGGGACAAAGGGCTCTGTGATAACTGAGAGAAGGTGTTGAGAATCACCTCTCTGTCTTGTATGAGTTGGAGAAATCTCCCAGGGGAGACAAGGAACTAGGACAAAGAGAGGCCAACTTTTCTTTGGTTCTGCTTGAGGCATGGCGGACTTTAGGTTAAGAACCAACCAGGGGCATCTCAACCTTGGGTGAGAGTTTAGGGCACTGGTTGGCAAACTCATTAGTCAACAGAGCCAAATATCAACAGTACAATGTGAAATTTCTCTTGAGAGCCAAATTTTTTAAACTTAAACTTCTTCTAACACCACTTCTTCAAAATAAGACTAGCCCAGGCCATGGTATTTTGTGGAAGAGCCACACTCAAGGGGCAAAGAGCCACATGTGGCTCACGAGCCGCAGTTTGCCGACCAGGGGTTTAGGGGACCATTACTCTCCTTGTCCATTCCTACGTCAAACAGGATTGTTGGCATGGAACCTCAGAACTGCCTGGGGCTGGTCCCTTTAACAGGACTCATTTCACCAGCGTTTGGGGACCACGTTAGTCTCCAAAAGGAAGGGTGCTTTTGTGGGATGTGATTTTTTTTTTTTTTTTTTTTTTTTTGTACACCGAGATCCTGTTTTACTATTTCCCACTGCCCACCTCTGGTGTATTCCATTTGAAGTGGCAGGAGGAGGTCACATTCACACGGAAACACGGGAATTTTCACCTGGAGGTCTCGGGTGGAAGGTGGGGTGCTTCTACAGCTCTCGGTTGGAGGCTGGGGCTCATCACTAGCACTGCCGACAGCTCTCGGAGGCGGGCAAATGCTGGGATTCTGTTTGCAGCCAGGTCAACCTCTGGGAGCTTCCATAAAGGTCCTCTGTGTTCGAGAATTCTGAGTTCTCTGACCTGAATGGACACTCATACCTCGGAGGGGCGGCCGCACACAGCTCTCCTGACAGCTTCTTGTCTTCATGCGGTTCTGTGTGTGTGCGGCGCCGGGAAGCAGGGGACGCGGGCTGGCGTGACTCAGCAGTGTGTTCTCTCCTTTCAGGTGGGTTTGACCTGGACATCAAAGGCTGGGGCGGCGAGGACGTGCACCTGTACCGCAAGTACCTGCACAGCAACCTCATAGTGGTGCGCACGCCCGTGCGGGGCCTCTTCCACCTCTGGCACGAGAAGCGCTGCGTGGACGAGCTGACCCCCGAGCAGTACAAGATGTGCATGCAGTCCAAGGCCATGAACGAGGCCTCCCACGGGCAGCTGGGCATGCTGGTCTTCCGGCACGAGATCGAGGCTCACCTTCGCAAGCAGAAACAGAAGTCCAGCAGCAAAAAGACATGAACTCCCAGGATTACGGTTGGGGGAGATGTTTTTTGTTTGTTTGTTTGTTTCCTTTTGCAATGAACCTGCAACAAGTGGCTGCAACAAGGAAACGACTTCCATAAAGGGCCAACAAAGAAGTTTAAAAAAAAAAAAAAACTGATTGGTAATGGACAAAGGGAGAGCTCTGCCTCCGATTTCTGCCTGTGTGGTTCTATGCAGCAGGAATGCACATCTCCCGCTTTGCCTGCAGAAGTAGCCCCAAGGATCCTCTGCAGTGTCTGAGGAAGGAGAATGGTCGTTGAGGTGGTGCGCTCGGCCACGTGGAGGCTGTGATTGTGTCTGCGGCGAAGTGAGGCCTGTTGCTTTCTGTGCTCATGGCAATATTCATGAATGAAGACCGGTTTTGTAAAAAGTTCACTAGAATGAAAGGCAAACATTTCTCCCCAGCGGGATGATTGTATCAGTAAGTCTCTGGTGTCTTGGAATGCTAAAACAAGGCAGGCGAGGAGACTGTAAACTTGACGATCCTTGTGAGTGTATTAAGCAAAACCAAGTGGACTAAAAAAAAAAAAGAAAGAAAGAAAAAACAAAGAAATCATAACTTGTTATCATTTTCCCCCAAATTAACCAAAAATAATCTCATCTTTTCGGTTGTAGTTTTAACCATCTCCGTTTGTTTCTTTTATTTAAAAAACGCACTTTTCTTTTGCTTAATAGTTATATTTTGCTTATTTAATGACCCATTCGCAAGCCTTACTAAAGGGAGCACAAGCTAGCGTACACTTTTATGTTTTTTAAGAAGATACTTTTAGATGCATTAGGAGAACTTTCCATTCAGAGGTGGATATCGCATCCGGGGACCTGGCCGACGCTGGGCCTGTCAGGCACCACGTCAGACCTTCAGCAGGCGGGAGGCGTGGCATGGGGCTGCCGAGGACCAATCTATAACCAGACTGTATCTGCAGAGTATTTCCGAAGAGGAGCGACTGAACACTGGAGGGAAATACAAATATCCTTTTTTTTTTTTTTTTTTTTTAACCTCAACAGAAAAGAAAACTCATTCAGGCTGGCAGTAGCTTGATTTATTTAAAAGTCAGAAAACACACTTTTTTTTTTTGGCAAGAGAGAACTGGGGACTACTTTCTTACCTGTTTAAATAAACCAAAGTACACTGTGTGAACCAAACGCTCTCTTTCCCAAGCAGGGTGCTCTTCCTGGCTGCTGGCTTCCACGAGAGGAACTGCAGGAAAGTGTATTTTGTGCAGGATCACTCCATCGGCCCGAGTCTCCGGGGCTGGGAGGTTTTCTACATGTTCACCCACCCCCATCCGGGGGGAGTAACTTCATTCTTTTTTAAACGAAGCTGTTCTACTCCATCGCCAAGATGCTTCTGAAAATTGCATTTTATTACAATTTCCAACTATTTAAAAAAAATAAATACACTTAACACTGAGTGGTTTCTACATTCATGTGTAAATTATTTATTTAATAGCCAGCACTAGTTGCACGAGCTAATTATCTCTGATTCCTTGTCTTCTGTTTGCCCACAGTCAAGTCATTGTTGAAAAGCTTCAGAAACATTCAAGCTGTTGGTGTGTTGGGGGATGGGGGGGTGGGGGGGGAAGCATTGTATTGATTTGTACTAACGTTACAATTAAAGTTTAATTTAATTAGTTCCTAACGTTTAATTGAAACACAGGGCATGAGTGGAAGGTGGCATTGGACAGCTAATAAAATATGATTTGTGGATATGATTTCTTCTTGGAATAAGAATGCCATATCTTTCGTTTTTGGAAAAGTCTTTTATGCATAGACCAGGGTTTCTCAGCTGTGGCGCTGTGGACATTCGGGGCTAGACCACTATTGTGGGGCTGCCCTGTGCCCTGTGGCATATTGAGCAGCACCCCTGGCCTCTACCCACCAGATGCCAGGAGGTCTCTCAATCAGTCGTTGCCAAACGTCCCTGGAGGACAGAGCCACCCCTGATTGAGAACCAGTGGTCTAGGCCAGTGGTCGGCAAACTCATTAGTCAACAGAGCCAAATATCAACAGTAGGATGATTGAAATTTCTTTTGAGAGCCAGATTTTTTAAACTTAAACTATATAGGTAGGTACATTGTTATTAAGTTAATTAGGGTCCTCCTAAGCTGGTCTTTGCTAAAAACTCAAGGGGCCAAAAAACCGCATGTGGCTTGAGAGCCGCTGTTGGCCGACTATGGGTCTAGGGGGAGGAGAAAACCATAATGATAAACCAGGCCCTTAATACAATTTACTTGTCCTTTTTATTAGAAGAAAATGAGAAATGATTTCCAAGGTGTCTTTAAACTCTGATTGTGTTTCATATTTTTACATGTAACAGTGATCCTAGAAATCCCGGGACCGCTCCCCAGTGGTCTGGAGGGCTTTGTGGGGCGGACCTGCACACTCTGCCCTGCTTGTGTCCTCCCAGAGTCGGGGATGCGTTTCCAACCAGGCTGGCAGCAGGGAGCAAATGTCTGGCCCAGGGTCAGGCAGGCGTAGGGACCTCTCGGGGAGCAGTCCCAAGCTGCCCCTGGCTCACCGGCCGTGGTGCTGGTTTACATTGCGGTGTCACAGGTGCCTGAGAGAGTGGCTAAGACCTGGGTTTTACAGAGAAGAAGAGAGAGGTATAGAGAATCAGAAACATCGATGAGAGAGAAACATCGATCAGCTGCCTCCTGCACACCCCCCACAGGGGAATTTGCTCACAACCAAGGTACATGCCCTTGACCAGAATCGAACCCAGGACCTTTCTACTCCGCAGGCCGACACTCTATCCACTGAGCCAAACCGGTTTCGGCAAATAACTGGGTTTTAAAGTTGCTGGTGGTAGCAGAAAAGAAGAAGAAATAGCACAATGCTAAACTATTTTTCTCTTTTTAGAGCATAATCCGTTAAGATAGTTTTATCAAAAAGTAGGAAGGACCCTCTTAAAGCAGTGCACTCGGGGATCTGTCTGAGTTGGGCTGCTTTACCAGAAATTGCGTAGACTGGCTTGTACAGCAGATGCTAATTTCTCAAGGTTTGGAGTCTGGGAAACCCAAGATCAGGGCACCAGCGGATACAGTGTCAGTGTCCTCGCAGGGCAGAGAGCTCTCCTGTTCTTAAAAAGGACACGGGTCCCCTCACAGGGGCCCCACCCTCACAGCCTAATTGCCTCCCAAAGGCCCCACTTCCTAATACCATCGCGTTGGAGATTCTACGTATAAATTTTGTGGGGGCACATGCAGTCCATAGCAGGACCTCTCCCCATTCCCTCCCCCAAAGGACTAGCAAAGGCCCTCCTGAAACACTGTAGTTAGGGGCTTGGAATTTAACCTTAGACAGCAAAGGGAAGCAGTCATGAACCTGTGGCTTGAAGGAGCCAGTCACAAACATCCGGATGCTGCCCAGGAGGCACCGAGTCTTGGGCATGTATTAGTTTCCTTCCCACCCTCTGCATCCTCCCTCTGTTCTTATTATACTAAGCCGCCTAGTAACTCACCCCAGTCATCTTACTGGAGCTGGGGTCTCTAATATAAACCTCAGACTCCTTCAACCGGCAGCCTCATGAGAGCCGATCGTTAGTGCCTCTTCCCATTCCTCACGCAGTAACGGCTGGTCGGGACCTTGAAGTCAGCCATAGTAAGAGCAGTTACCCGTATGCCATGGAGACTGGCAGTACACATAGGACTCCCCTCAGAACCCCATCCTTCACCCCCAACCCCAGCCGGTTGTTCATTGTTTACCGGCACACCACAGAGTAAGTGAGTTAGTCTGTCTGGCATCCTTGGGACACATCAGGCAGGCACGTGGCAGGCATTCACGTTCAGCCGTTGTTATTCAATATCAATTCCCAAGCCCAGTATTTCTCCAGTGTGATCAGAGGGCCACTGCGGGGCACACATTGCAGACCAGGAGCCCATCGTGTGTGCATTGTTGTCCTTTATTTCTGCCATTCTGAAAACAATTTCAGTCTATCAAAAGAAGGGTTACGAGGAGTGCCTGTATAATAAAATCCTAAGTGAACGTAACGGCGGAATGATCAGAACGACCAGTTGCTATGATGCACACTGACCACCAGGGGGAAGGTGCTCCATGCAGGAGCTGTCCCCTGGTGGTCAGTGTGCTCCCACAGGGGGAGTGCTGCTCAGCCAGAGGCCGGGCTCATGGCTGGTGAGTGCAGTGGTGGCAGTGGGAGCCTCTCCTGCCTCCATGACAGTGTAAGGCCTGAAAGACCCCCGGTCCAAAGGATGAGCGGCGACCCCAAATCAAACGCAGAGCCCGAGTCTTGATGCAAAGAGCAGGAGGTTTATTCCAAGCGCTGCGCAGGGACCCACAAGCAGCAGTCCAGAAAAAGACTGCCGCTTGAGAGCCCTGAACAGAGGTTAGTTACAAGCTTTTATAGGCAGAAACCACACGCAGGTGGCCTGGGGAAATTGGCCTGGGGAAATTGGCAAATTGGCCTGGGGAAATGCAAACATAAGGTTGAGATTGCAATCTCTTGGCCGTTTCCCGGGCAGTTAGAAACAGGCCTGACCTTACAACAGCGCTAAGGAGCAGTGAGCAGGTGGGCAGTAAGGAGCAAGGGGTCCTGGGCTGCGAGAGGGATGTCCACCTGCTGGTTGAGGCCCGATTCCTGGGTCACAGCCCTGCTGAGGGACCCCTACCCCCAGTGCACAGATTTGTGCACTGGGCCTCTAGCAAGATATAATGGATAATTTCTCCTTTAAATTCCGTGCTCAGTGTTTGGAGTTGATGACCCCCTAGGGCAGTGGTTGGCAAACTCATTAGTCAACAGAGAGGCAAACCTAGGGCCTAGGCCAGTGGTCTGCAAACTAAGACTCAAGAGCCATATGCGGCTCGTAAGCCTCGGTTTACCGCTTTGTTGACTAATGAGCTTGCCGACCACTGGCCTAGGCAGTTAAGAGGCATTACAGGTTTTTGAAATAAGGAGTATAGCCAGGCGCTTTATGTACGTACTGCCAACCTCCTAAGGTAGGTGATGTCATTACTTCCATTTTACAGGTGCAAAAACCCAAAGCTCAAGAATGGTAAAGAGCTCGCTCAGGGGCCCAGCCAGGAAGTGGCTGGCTGCAGGCTCCCATCAGCGTCCCAGCTCCAGAGGGCCTGAAGGTCTCTGGGAAGGGGGTTGGGAAGCTTTGGCCTGGCCTGAGTCTAAAGCCTGGCCTCTTGAGCCTCCCAAAGGCCCCACCTCCTAATACCATCCCCTTGGGGGCACATGCAGTCCATAGCAGGACCTCTCCCCAACCCCTCCCAGACCAAGAAACCTTGGGCAGGGAGGTCAGTGCTGGGCTTCTTGAGTCAACAGATGAAGGGGGAACAGGGCCAGGGTTTAGATGGCCTCACCTTAGGCCCATGGTCGGCAAACTGCGGCGCGAGAGCCACATGCGGTTCTTTGGCCCCTTGAGTGTGGCTCTTCCAAAAGCACTAACAAAGGGCCCCCTGAAACACTGTAATTAGAGGCTTGGAATTTAACCGCAGACAGCAAAGGGAAGCAGTGAGGAGCCTGTGGCTTGAAGGACTCCCACTGTTACCCCCTTCTCCAGTCCCACCTGCAGGATCCCATCAATGAATGAAAGGTTGTTAACAGCCACCCAGGAACGAGGAGCGAGCTGGCCCCACCCCCTCCAGCTGCTGTGTGTTAACCCAGGTCAGGGCCCTGAAACTGTGGAAGCAGGCTCTCCGGCAGGATCCTAAGGCAAGAGGAGACTTAAAAGACTGTCTGAGAGCAGGTAGGAATGTTTCCTTTTTGAAAAAGATTTGACAAGGTTGCTGAGAACTGATAAAGCCCTGGGGCGGTCCTTCAGAAGGTGGGTGTGTTTTACTGCCACACCTATCAGATTTGTGTGATCCCTTTTCTGATTAGCTTCCTATTTGCATTCAAAGCTGTTTTTACTGCCAGGAATCCCTGCTTTGTGTAGCTGCCAACATCTATGGGGACTGTGCCATTTGGTTAGGGGCTTTGGGTGGTGGTTTCAACACAGCAAATCATCTCAGTCAGCAGAGGTGCCTTTCAAAGTCTCTGCGTTGCCATTCGTACTTGCAGGCCTCTGGAGTGGTCCACCTTGTGCCCCCGGCTGTGTCTGCCTGTCTGCTGTTCTAAGGGGGTGTGTGTGTGTGTGTGTGTGTGTGTGTGCTGGTGGCAGCCTGGGAGGGCAGCCAGCGCTGTGCCGCCTCAAGGCCATCATGGCCACAGTCACCCCGACATTCAGGGAGGGACAGGCCACTTGCGGCCTCTTCCCAGGACTCATCCAGTGTCCGTCTGTCTGGCTGGCTACAGGCAGTGCCCAGGTGGGATGCATGGCAAATGGATTAACTCTACAGCCACCTGAGAGGGATACCATAGCTTGAAAGGAGGAGACTACAGACACTCCAGAAGCTCCCTCTACCTCCACCATCAATCCCCCGTTTCTAACCCCACCTCCAGCCCACAACCAAACTACCCTCCAACTCATGTTTTAAGAACGAGAATAGTAAATAGCACCTGGCCTGCTAGGATGTTAAACCCCAATGGCAAAGGTTAAGGGGAAAAAAATTTTTTTTTAATTTAAAAATAAGTACAAAGCAAACTAAAACCCTCAGAT